GGTGGTCATGTTGGGTGATGCCAAATGGCACATCCTGGGTCTCCTCTAACCTCAGGGCATTGGGATGGTGTGGGGATGGTGTGGAGATGTTCACTCTGCATCCAGGCACCAGGAAGGATGCGAGAGAGCGCAGTGATGCTGTGGGTGCCTCGGAGAGGAGACAGGGTGCCAGAGGATGGGATTGGGATTGAAGACAAAGTGCCTCCCTCCCTCCACCCGGAGAATAAATGTGGATGGCAGTGACTGAAGCCTGAGTGGCGCAGTCCTGCCCTCGGGAGCTGTTGTGTGAGCCCCACTGTCACATGCTGCAGATGCCATTGTCCCCGCGGCTAATGTGGTGGGTTGCATTGTTGGGAGAGGATTAGAGGAGCCTCCGCTGTTTTGATGGCCTGCTTCTCATTTGCATCCTTAACGAAGCGGGAGCCCAGCCAGGTTCTGTTCTTTTGTGTTTACTTCTGAGGAAGTGTGTTTATTTCCGATGATTACAAATAAATCTCCTCTGCCTTTGCTCCAGCCGCTTGGAATAAAAAGCGTTCGGAGCCTGTTAACTGTGTAGCCGGGGTGAGTATTGGAAGGGAAGGAGAAATCCCATTAGGAGTCCCCAGCAAATGTAATTAACAATTTCTCCTCAAAGACAAGGGTGTTTGCTCTGCCCCTGTGACAGGTATTTTTGGTTGGAAGCTTCGCAGGGTGAAGCATCACCCCGTCGTTGTCGAGGGGCTTCGCTCCCGAGCCGGGTGAGCTATTTTAGCCACTGAAAACTGGGTCAGCCGGCAAGTTTGCGACTGGTTTTGGCATCTCCATTTGTCATTCTGACGGGACACATTACCTACAGGAGAGAAAAGCAGTTTGGGGTTGAAGGGCTATAGAAGTGTTTCAAAGTAGAGCATTATTGGCTTGAATAGGGAAGCAGGAGGAATGTGAATCATAGAAACATAGAATTTTTTCAAGTGGAAAGGACCCACAAGTTTAGTTGTGTCCAACTCCTGGCTCTGCACAGGACAGTCCCAAAAGTCCCACCATGTGTCTGAGAGCGTTGTCCAAATGGGTTTGGACAATAAATTTGGGTTGACCCATAGATGAGCATCTTCCCCCATCCTCTTGGCATGGCCAGAGACTGATGGTCTTGTCTCTGTGGGTACAAACATGTCTCCTGGACTTCTTGGGATTCACATCAGCATTTGGGGTCCCATGCATCCAATTCCTTGGGATATTTTGCACCTATGGAGAGGGTTTTGCAAGACGTGCTTGATACTTGCAACTCTTTGTGTGCCATTTATCCTTCCAAACTAGTGCCATAAAACTTGTGCTGACCTGACCACAGGGCAGGTATTGAGGGCAGCTCCAGGTTTTGCCCTGGCATTCCACTGAGTCAGCAGTGCAGGAAAGGTCTGTGGCATGGCTGGGAAAGGTGGTGGGTGAAGGTGGAGGGTGTTATGGCTCCTCTCACGTGTAGGAGAAGTGCTGTCAGTGTCATTGATGGGGCTGGGCAGGATCCTGCTGCAGGAGCGACGCGGGGGTCTCTCCTAATAGGTGCAGGAGGAGGGAGAGAGTCACTTTGTGCCGCCGAACACAACGAGCGCGTCAGCGGAGTTATCTGTATTGTTGACACTAAGTGAAATAATTCCTTGGCAAACTTCAAAATTAGCATTTAAGGCTGAGGAATAGGGGCAATTAGAGGGGAAGCGGCGCAGCGCCGGTGCCCCCAGCTCCCACCCTCATGCATCTTCTCACGCTGCTGCGTTCAGGTTCACCGCCCTTGTCTCTGGTGGAGCACTGGGATCCCCACAGCAGCTCTCGTCCTCCTGCAGAGGGAGGGGATCAATATGGGGCTCAGGAGATGAAGCCCTTCAGGAGGCCACATGTTTCATTGTGAGTGCTGTGGGGGCTGGAGCTTGGGCAAAGCCCAGCATGAGAGGTTCCCCAGCAAGCTGCTCTGGAGGAGAGTGGTCGTGGTTGGAGGCAGGTGAAGGGCTGCAGATGGTGAGAAGGCAGTGAGATGCTCAAAGGCAGTGAGGGGCTGAGTGGGGTGCAGAAGTGGGAGAGGTGATGAGATGGGTCACGTTGCACAAAGAAGAGCTGTGTGAGGGAGAGGCATGTGCCAGTGGCTCAGGTTTGGGCTGATGATATCATTCTCAAGATATTCCCCCTGCCTTGCTCATGGGCTTACTCCAGGTGAACTGCAGAGCCAGGATGGGTTTATTTCCCTCCCATCTGACAGGCACTTGATTGTCTTTCGTCCCTTCTGGACATGAAAGGCAGAGTTTGTGGAGATGGATACGGCGCCTTCAGGAGACTGTTAATGGGGGTTTGTCTTTGTTTTTAATTAGATCCCTTCAAGGGAAAACCTCCTGGCCCGCTTTATTATCCAGCTTTGTCAGAGCTTGTCTGCTTTATCTAAACACTTTGCAGAAGTCTCTGTACCTGTTTGCTTACTGGAGACATTATCATAATCCTGGTCAATTGGAAATGGGTAGCAAAGACGGCTCAGCAGACAAGGGAGCGCTGGCAGCTTAGCAGCTAATGGAGATCACTTTCCCAGACAGGTAAAGAAGCTGATGAGGTGCTCCTTGTGCCAGGGTGTCCATCAGTATTTGCCTTTGAAGTGCCTGTTGCCAGAGCATGGGAAAACTGACAGCAGGAAGGTGAGGTTGGGTAAGGAGGTGCCTTCAGGAGCGCTGCGTGCTCCGTGCCAGCTGATGGATGGTGGATTTTCTGCTGGTGGTAGATCTGACACATTTCCAGGAGGTGCTGTTTTGTTAAAGGAGGGTGGTTTGTCTGTCTCCTGTAGCTGCAGGTGACAGCCCACGCTCTGGTGGAGAGCAGCACAATCAGAGTCAAAGGGACTTAGTCCTAAATTAGCTATTGAGTGGCAGCAATCGAAGTGTGAGCTCAAGGGATGGGGAGAAGGAGCCTTTGCCTCCTTGCTCTTGGTATGAGTTTGTTGAAGGGATCTGCAAGTTGCTCCTGCCCACTTGCTCTGAGTGAGTTTGAGGGCAGTACCAGTCACCACAGACAAGAGAGTGATGCTGTCCTTACCATCCCTCACGTGAGCTAGTCCTTCCCTGTGTGCTTGTGCAGGTGCAGCTCTGAGGTGTCAATACAAGCTGTAAATGCAGAATGAGCCACCCAAGTTCTCAGGTGTCCCAGCCCAGCTCCAGACTTCCCTAGGAGCACATCTCATATGCACCAGCCAAATCTGGGCAGCCGCAGCCGAACGTCCTCAGCGCCAGCGCGAGCTTCTCATCCCTGTCACTTCAAACCCCAGTCCTTGTGCTTCACCCCTAATGAGGGGACCCGAGAGTACCTCGCAGGGCTGTAGTCTGGATATTTATATGAGCGCAGACATGCGAGTTGTCTGTTTTACATATTGCTGCCCTGATTTTTCAGTGCACGCAATGAATAATTTACAGAAGCCGTGTGTAAGTATCTCTTTATTATTCATTATAATGAAGTGAGACAGCAGTAATAGTCCACTAGACTGGAATCCCCCAGGGCCGAACTTAACTCGACTGTGCTTAGCTCTCCCCTAGTTAATTTGAACGAAGGGAGGGCTTGGCTTCCTGATAGGGACGAGGCCGACTGGGTCCAGCAGAGTGGAGCTGGCACTGGGGCACGTGTGCCACTTGGGCAGGACAGAGCCACCACGGGCGTGGAGAACCATCCATTTTTCCCGGCGTCCGTACGTGATGTGGCTGGTGGAGATGTACAGCTCCTGCAAGGGGAAAATTACTTGTTTGTGGGAGGATATATGGCTCATTCCTCGGAACTGAGTGCCCAGGGGGAACCCTCAAACATGCCAAGTATTGCCCCTTCCCTCGGCCCGATTAATAATCTCGATCGAGGTGACGCTCTGCGGGCTCAGCAAGGGAGGCATATAACACCCCCGAAGCCTGGGCAGGACAGGCAGCACAGTGGGGATGAGGACAGGAACAGCCTTCCAGCCCCTCTCTGAATTTACAGGTGTGCAGAGAGGAACTCGTGCAAGTTTCTGGATTGACTGTAGGTGCTTTTTTCCTAAGCTCTCAGCTGCACAAAGCTGCAGCAGTGCCACTGCCTCAAGCAGTGGCTCACGCCTAGCTTGGTTTTCCTGGTCTAGAGAAATATTCCCTACCATGCTCCTCAGGTGGGAAAGGCTCCAGAGATATGCCGGGCCGTTAATTTAGCCAAAGGCTCGGCAGTTTTGCTGTGGGTGCTGTGGCAGCAGCAGAGAAGGCCATAAGGAACTAGATGGAGAAAAATCTATCCAACAGAATGCAAAAGTCATGTTTTCCAGGAACATTTTAATTCCCTTCCCCTCCTCCCCCCAAACCCCATTCTTTGCCAAGTGTAAGTCAGCGCCGTGGACCGGAGCTGCCGAGCTCCCGCGCGTCTCGGAGCGAGGAGGTGGGAGCCAGGCAGGAAATAAATAATGGAAACGACCGTGTTGTGTTTTCAAGGCACTTGTAGGATTTACAGCTGCTTATCCAAATGTTCCCTTCCCTTCCCTGCGTGCTGGCTTGGCCGTCTCCGGCTGTTTCTCTCCTTCCTCTCTCCCCGTGCGTGTGCCGCGGCCCCTGTCCCCGGCAGCGGGTGTGTATATCACCCCGGGGATGGCTCGAGGGCTGTGCCGACGAGTCGAACTGTCAGCAAATTTTACAGCTTCATCTGAAATTCTCGGCGCACGGCGAGGGCGACGGGGGGAGCGCTGGAGGTGGGTGAGAGGGGGATATGGGTAGTCTGCGTGGCTGGTGGAGGTCAAACGTAATGGGAGCTTTTGTCTGCGGTTCCCCCGTTCTGTATAAAAGAAATAAAAGGCAGGTTTTCTTTCTGGTGAACTCACTGTTTATGTGAAATCTCATCCCAGGGGATGGGATGATGTGTGGGCATGGTAGCATGGCTGCGCCGTCTCCGTGCTGGCAGTGATGGGGAGTCAGAGCCACAGCTGCCATCCCACTCCATCCCCTTTTGGGGTCTCTGTGTGTCCTGTTCCAGGTGTGTGACGCTGTCTCTCCCTCTGCAGGTGTACCGTGGATGACCGGGTGACGCGGGTAGCCTGGTTGAACCGCAGCACCATCCTCTATGCTGGCAATGACAAGTGGTCTATAGACAACCGCGTGGTCATCCTCTCCAACACCAAGACCCAGTACAGCATCAAGATACAGAATGTGGATGTGTATGATGAGGGGCCCTACACCTGCTCCGTGCAGACAGACAATCACCCCAAGACTTCCCGCGTCCATCTCATCGTGCAAGGTAGGTCTGAACATGCCTCATGCTAGGTCTTTATGCCTCATGCTGTGATGGGACAGTTTGATCTGGAAGGCTGTCTGGACTTGTGAAGGGTTTGGAGGCCTTCTTGGTGATAGAGATGTAGGGATCAGACCAACCAGGTTGGAAGAGACCTCCAAGATCATCAAGTCCAACCCTACCGTGGTTACTAGACCATGGCACTAAGTGCCACATCCAGTCTCAGCTTGAAAACCTCCAGGGATGGTGAATCTACCACCTCCCTGGGCAGCCCATTCCAATGCCTGAGCACTCTCTCCGTAAAAGATCTCTTCCTAATAGTCAACCTAAACCTCCTCTGGCAGAGCTTGAGTCTGTGCCCTCTTGTCCTGGTGCTGGTTGCCTGGGAGAAGAGACCAACCCCCACCTGACTCCAACCTCCTGTCAGGGAGCTGTAGACATGCATTGCTTCAGGGATTGCAAGTGCCTGCCATGCCAGGGAGGAGATGGACATGCATTGTCTCAGCCTCTCTGTGTTGTATGGTTGTCCCATGGGGCAGAGGACACCAAAGCACTGAATTTGGGGCTGGAGTGCTCTTCTTTCTCTCCCTTTGCCAGTCCCTGCTGTGAATGTGATCCATCACCCTGCTCAGGACCACATTGCTCAGCACATTCCACCAGGGAGTTGTTTGTAATGTGCTCAGGTTCACATCTGAAGATGCTTCAGGAGAGCTGAAACAGAGTGATGCCAGGAATGGAGGAGAAGCAGATCCCAACAGCATGAGGTTCTATGGGTTTGGGAGAGAGGCTGGACTGTGTGTGAAGTCCCTGTGGGGTGATGAAGGCCTTTGGCACAGGATGTTGTAGACAAGTGTGTCAGTGTAGCAGATTCTGTTTTGTTGCAAAGCAGCATCCTGGGGCTGTTCTGGTGGGGAGATCCAGGTGCTGGCAGATCAGAGGTGCCCCTAGCACTCTGGTGCATGCTGCCTCTGGATCCCTGTGGCTTTGCACCAGCTCTGCTGGCTTTTGTCCGGTCTCTAGATTAATTTTTCAGAGTTAGTGTTAGTTCAGGTTAGATAAAGATAATGAAAGTTTCCTAATCCTCTTAAAGAAGATTTATTTGGCTGAGTAGAAAGCTCTTGGAATACAATAAAGCGTGTATAAAACCAGGACCTAATCTTTCCTTTAATTTCAAACAGCTGATGGGTATTGATTTTGCAATGAGCAAATCTGAAAACTTTCTCAGCCTCGACATGTCTCTGCGAACCCCCAACACTGTTATGTATGTATTTATGTATCCTCCTCATTGGGAGGAGGCAGGGGTTGATTGTGGCCACCCATCAAAGCTGTTTTCCTGCCTGGTGTGGGTGAAAGTGTGTTGGGAAACTCCACATCGTGTGCATCAGACTGTGGTGGGGAGGGAAGTGCTCACCTCTTTGCCTTGGGAAGAGGAGAGTGGAGCTCTGCTGGGAGCATTCCTCCACCCCCTTGAGTGGAGCTCTCCCTCTCCCCTTTTTTTGAGCTGTGTGTGAGCTGTCCATCTGTGAAGTTTAATCTGTTTATCCTGTCTGCTCTCTAATCGTGCTAATCCGTCCAGTCAACACCAGTGAGGTATCGAGTGCTTTGCACCTGCTGAAATCAGGTGAGCTGGCAGTGATGCTCAGTGCCTGCTCCCCTCTCCCCTTTTTCAGGGGGATGCAGGCAGGTGAAGGTGAGAGAGAGTTTTTTAT